ATATATATGTATGTGTGTGTATATATATATATATATATAGTGAGAAGATGACTTGAAGTAGTGAAATTACTAAAACTTATATTGTCATTATTTTTAATAACTAATTTGCCTTCATTTTGTGTGTGTCTTTGTTTTTTTGTGTGTTGTTTGTTTAAAGGTTGAGAATGTGTGTTTTATTTTTGTTGCTTGTTTGCAAATAATAAAACCCAATATAGCATAAATCATGAAAGATTACTAAAACTAAAACGTAAACAAAAATGTACAAAAAAAATAATAATAAACTAATAAAAAATAACATTTACATGACAAAATTACTAAAACTAAAATTTAAATGAAAACTGAAAATATAAAAAAATATATAAGATTATTCAAAATAGTAATAAATACTGTAATATATAAATAATACTAAAATAAAACTGGGACCAAAACAGCATCCATTGACAAAAATATATATATTTTTTCAAAATATAATTTGTTTTCCACATGCAGAAGAAAGAAAGTCATACAGGTTTGTAATGACATGAGGGTGAGTAAATGAGTCAACTTTCCTTTTAAGATGTGCTGTCACCATAAAGGTAAAAATGTACAACTCACTTAAAGTGCCCCTATTATGGATTTTTGAAAATTACCTTTCATGCAGTGTGTAACACAGCTCTAAGTGAATGAAAACATCCTGCCAAGTTTTAAATCTGAAAGTTCACCATGCATAAAGTTATTGTCTCTCAAAAGACAGAGTCGACTCTGAATCATTGAAACGAGTCGTTTTTATAACGAATCCCAAGCCGTTTCATGTTGACTTCAACATGAAACATTAGCATATTGCCCACCCACTTGTTGGTCTTTTCGTTGGTCAGAATGAAAATGCAAATTCATTCTTTGCCACTAGGTGCCGCTTCTGGAGCGTAAAATAGCTGTTTCCCCGGTAACGCTGTAAACAAAGCAGCATTGCGCTTACAAACGCTGCTTTATCAGGCATTACAGGCATGATGAAATGAAAATGAGACCAATCGGACCAATCGCCGCAGACACGCAAAGGAGGGGTTTGGAAAAATGAATCGTTAAACGAATCGTTTGGGAGTCGTTGAGCAAGTAAGGTAAAAAAATAAATGCATATTATAAGACAATTAAAGTGTTTTTCAACCTTGCATGCATGTCAACCTGTTGTTGGGGACTCCCAAAACCTTTCATAAACCATAATAGGGGCCCTTTAAGTATAACAAAATAGCTACAAAATTAAAGTAGAATGTTAACATGTAGGTTATGTTCTAGAATACTGAAAGAACACTCGTTGCCATTCAGGTCCTGTTTTGAGCTGCTGGGAGGTTTGCGGCAGCAGATGGGCTGTCCCGCTGTGTGCCTGATTGAAACACAGAAGCTGGAACCGACTCATAACAACATCACCAGCTCCTGTCAGCTCCAGCCAGGGAACAAATCAGCCTTCCCGCGGCTCTTCTGCAGGGAA